GCGCACCTGGAAGCGGGAGCGGAGCGGCGGGTCGAGAGGCGCGCCCGGGAAGCGAGGCACGGGCAGACCGATGACGAGCACGAGGAAGTCGTCGTGGCAGCGGACCTGCGGCGAGGCGAGAGATGTGGCGAGGCGAGGCGCCGTCTAGGAGCCTTCTAGGAGCCTTCTAGGAGCCTTCTAGGAGCCTTCTAGGAGCCTTCCCTATAGGCGGAGCTGCGGCGGGGCGAGAGGCAGCTCGCGAGAGGCGCCGTCTCTCCTGCGGCTGTGCGCATCGCGCCACCGTCCGCCCTCACGCCACCGCCGGCCGCACATCTTGGCTGGGTCTGCATCTCGGCCAGATCTCCGCTCGGTCTTTGATCTCGGCGCCGATCTCAGCTGCGTCTCGCGCCAGCTGCCGGGCGGCGAGGTCGGCCTCGGTGGCTCCCTCGGCGAGGAGCTTATCGTACCGGCGCGGGTGGACGAGGAAGGCGCCTGGAAGGGACGGGAGACCGGCTCCGCCGACGCCACGCGTCGGCCACATCTCGGCTATCACTCGGCAACGACATGTTGTGCATGACTCGGCCGTGTGTCCGATTTTGGCACATGGCAGGGGTGTGAGGAGAGGGTGTGCATAGGAGAGGGTGTGCCGGAGTCGAGCTGCATCTCTCGGTTCTCGAGCAGGTTGTTGAGGATGGGCAGCAAGTTGCGCTCCGCCTAGAGAGGTGCAGCCGAGGTGCAGCCGGAGGTGCAGCCGAGGTGCAGCCGCAGCCGAGGTCTAGCGCGCGCCTTCTCGAGGCCCTCGATGATGAGCACCCGCCCGTTGACCGCGGCTTGCACCACCGGAAGGTCTGAATAGACGACAGAGCCTCCACGGATCTCGCGCCGCTGCTTGAGGTCCGACTCGGTCGTGTCACGCGAGATGGAGACGTGCTCAGCTTCGCGGCCTGTCACCTCGCAAAAGCGGAAAGCCAGCGAACGGAGGGTGCCGACCGACTCGCCGAGTAGCATGGCGTCCTGGCGGAGCAGCGCCTTCTTCGCGAGCCACTCGAGGGTGGCGAGCGTTTCTTCAGAGTCCGAGCCGCTCGGCAGTAGGCTTCGGTTCGCTGAGCCAACAAGCTCTATTCGCTCAGCCGCACGGAGCGCCACGGTGGTGTCGCCGATCCTGGTACTGCCAGCCCGTGAGCAGATGGCGCGGAGGAGTCGCGGCGGTGATAAACCTAGTCGCCGCCGCACTAGCGGCAGCATGGATGCGGCGGCGACCAGGAGGCACCGGGTCGGCGGCGCGAGACTTGGTGCCCTAGCGAGAAGAATTCCGTTCACGGCAAGAAGAATTTAAACGGTGAGAAGATTGCCGACCAGATTGCCGACACTCCTTCCCAGAAGAGAGAGCAAGGGGGGGTGGGGGGTGGGAGGCGCGTTTTTTTGTTCTTTGCGAAAGAAGTCTCTTGGCGGCGTACCAAGCTGAGCGAGGAGCGCGCCGTCTTCCCTCTCGCAATGTCGACTCGGAACGCGAAGCGCTCAACGACGGCAGATGCCGAAGACCGTGACGCTCAGGTGGTCAAGGCGGCGTACGCGGTCCTCATTGCGGGTCTCGAGTCCGCCGCCGGCCGCACAGCTATCGGCGCGCCGCCCATCGCGCTTTCCCCGGAGGAGTTTGAGGAGTCGGCCGACGCGTACACGCTCTGGGCGGAGACGCGGATGAAGAAGATCGCGGGAGACGCGGGCATCAGCGTGCGTGAGGTGTGCCAGATCCTCGGCCTGACTGGCGACGACCAGCACTACGTTCACAACATGGAGCTGGAGCGGGCCATCCTGAAGCGCCGCGTCGCCGCCCTGTACAACGGCTACCCCGACCTCGTGGAGCCGTCCAAGGACCTGAACGTCATCTTCTGTCAGCCGACGCAATACCACTGTGTCTTTCAAGTGGCGCTTATCGGCGCGTTTTCGGAGTTGGAGCCCCGGTTCCGCAAGCTCCTCAACGAGCAGAATCTCGTGCAGAAGGGCAAGAAGGAGCCCCAGCCGGATTGGTCCGGCACCCGCGAGTGAGTCCGACCAAGAGACAGGGCTAAATTCCGCGCGCGGCTTATCAAGGGCCAGAGAGAGAGAGAGAGAGAGCGGACGCGCCAAGAGCCCGCGGCCGCAAGCGGAAGCGAAGCTCTGCGCACTGCGCGCGGGAACAAGAGCGACGCGAGACCCGGGGAACCCGGAACAAGCGACGTGACGTGGGCTCGGGAAGAGCGGCGACCGAGGCGAGGGAGACTCAAAAAAGTGGCAGGATGCTGAGATGCAAATACATTGTCGTGTCCGACATGTATCATGCTGGGGCCACGAGGTCGCCGTTGCGGTTGGCGAAGCACATCTGTTCTCGCAAAAGTCCATCCCCGCCCTCCGTGCGGTGCGACCCCCACATGCGTTGGGGTCGGGGACCGACGCCCGCCGACCTCTGCGAGAGCGCACCCTGCGCCCACGCCTCCCTCGCCGCGTTCTCGCCCCCCGCGTCGGCCGCATCGCCGCAGTAGTGGTAGTACCGAAAGAGGCCGCGCCGCTGGCAGCCGCCGCTTCAGTGCGAGTGCGATGCCGCCGTAGACAGACTGCAGCGCAGCAACGGCGATGGCGTGCTCGATGGCGCGGCGGTCGCGCCGCTCCGCCTTGTGAGCACTCAGAGCGGCAGAAAACTCGATGTCGCTTCGCATATGCGAACAACGTTTCGAAGGGCGCGGATATCGCCGCCTCGCGCGTGATGCTCGCCAGGCAGCCACGCAGCTTGACGTTCTGAATGAACCCCACCGTGAGGCAGTCGCAAGCGGCCTTCTTCGAGAGCTGTGGTCCGGCCGACACATGACACCGACGGCACGCCGGCGACGGGATTTGGACGTGTCGGCGTGCTGTTGTACACCTAACACCTTGCGTTCAGCCGCAACCATCCAGTGTCTGGGAGTAGGCAAGCACAGCGTAATCACATCCGCGTAGCCAGAAAGGACGGCAATCCTCGTCGTGGAGCGAGACTGTAGAAAGGGAGGGAGGGGGGGTAACATCTCGTTCTCCCGCCTGCAAACCCCTCGCGGCCGCGGCGGCCCCGACTCTCTCTTCGCCGAAGGTCCCGCATCTCGTGGGAAGTGCCAGGTTTTGTGTGGTATCAAAAGGTGGGGTTCTGCGGTGTGGGGTGCGTGCTGCGTGTATGTGCGTGTGCGGAGAGATGTGTGAGTCTCTCGCGAGGGGCGCGCGGTTCGTCGGGTTCGTTTTGCCGCGCTGGGGGGGGGGGGGGGGGGGAGGAGCAAAGAGCAGCTCTTTCGTCTCGGCGTGCGCATAAGTGCTCCCAGCACGGAGACTATTCCACGTGTCACTCATGTCTCCCTTCCGACTCGCGCTAGGCCGAAACCAGCATCTCGAGGCCCAGCAGCTCTTAAAACCTGCCTAGTCATTCACGGGTGTCCGCGGCCCACTGTGCCCGCTGGTAGGACAGTGACCGCGGCAAATCCTGTGTTCAGCTCCATGGGATCTCGGATATCTTTTGTAGGCACCGGAACGCCAAAAAACTAGTATGTCTTCGAGGGAAACGAGTAATCCGAGCAAACCCGCGGCCGCAATGAATTAAAAGGGGCGGTTTTCGAGGGGAATCTGGAGAATCTGGGAATCTGCTCACCACGGATCCCCGGCCAAAAGCTGCAGAAACAAGCTTTCAGTGCCTACAAGTGTAGGCACTGGATTATCGTGCGCGCGGAGCGCGCTGGTGCTACCCGGACACACGCGCGGAGCGCGCTAGCTGGACACACGCGCGGAGCGCGCTGGCTAGATACCGCGCGGAGCGCGCTGGCACCTATGTGCGCGGAGCGCACCGCGGTACCGCTCCGGTAGAGTCTAGACACATGAAGACAGTCTGTTGCAGTCAGTTGTGGCCACGCTGCTTCGAAGCTGGCCTGACGTCGTAGCACGCGTCTGGCAGACGCTGTGTCTCTGCCTTCTTCCGCGTCATGACCACACCCCGCTGCAGCGAAGCTCCAATGCCGTGCATGTGACCTGTCTGGCAGACGCTGTGTCTCTGCCTTCTTCCGCGTCATGACCACACCCCGCTCTGTGCATGTGACCTGTCGTTGTGGTGAAAGCGGTCTTCCCAGTTGAGCCCGCCCCAGTTCTCGAGCGCACGGTTGATGAAGGGCACGGCGACGGCCGCATGTAGCGCCTAGAGACACGCGCGGAGCGCGCCGCTGCAGAACACGCGCGGAGCGCGCCGCTGCACAGGCGCGGAGCGCCGCCACTTGAGATTGGGCCTGTGGGTGGGCCGAGTGGTTCCTAGCGTGTGAGTCAACTCTTAATATAAATCGCACCTAGCCCTCCTCAACCCTCAAAATTTTCTTCGGGGCGCGCTCCGCGCGCGGCGCTCCGCGCCTGACTCCTTGAGCGGCGTAGGCGCTGGCTCGCACATGTTCTGCAGCTTGGGGATCCCCACCTCATCGAGAAACTTTTCACTCCAAGACATACTAGTTTTTTAAAGTGCTCTACAACCTAGGCACAAACGAAGATATGGCATTGCAGGCCATTTAGGGCCCCTTAGAGACGGTCACTGAGTACCTTAAGGTACTCGCTTAGTGTGGGTAAACCATAAAAGTAGGTTTGAATTCGTCCACGTAAGGCTTGGTGAGTGGTTGGGGTGGCCTCAGGCATCCCCAAGAGAGCCTCTGCGGTGCCACATAAGCAGCTTAGTGATTGTCGAGACTTTAAAGTATTCGTTGGAAGAAACGCGGCAAACAAGACAGACGGTACTATGGTCACCAGTAAACCATAATTCGACTTTGAGGGATCATATCTCAAAAATCCGGGAGATAGCATAGCCTTATTGTTGCATATTATGCCACATAAGGTCAAACTCGACCCCACAAGCATCAAGAACCCGATGCTCCGGCTCGACTGTGCCGGCACACTGCCTCCTCGCGCCAGCTGCTCGCAGGCCGTCGCGGCCCGTGGTGCACCAGAGAGAGAGGTCGACGCGTTGCCCCCGCCGGCGACCCCGCGCGGCTCAGGCCGGCCAGAAGGTGTGTGGTGGCGGCACCGTGGCAGGATTGCGGAGAAGAGCTCGCCGAACGCGAGCAGCAGATGGCCAAAGTGTGCCAGCGCGAGAGCCTCGCGAGCGGGCGCAGAAGGAGCTCGCCGTGACACGATGCCGGGCGGTGGTGGTGCTCTGGCGGCTGTGCACAGTGGGCAAGGTCAGGCTGCAGCAGGGCAGCACGATGGTAGTGCCCTGCTGCAGCCTGGCCTGACATGCACAGGGCGAACAAAGGCGGTACTATCGTCCGGCGCTCGTCGTCGAATCTGGGCCAACTTCGACCGCCGCCACAGCTCGCCACGAGCACGCAGCGACAAAATGTTGACTGTACGGAAGTTGAGGCTGGTCGAGAGGAAAAGGCTGCCGTGCGAGCCGGCAGCAGGCCGGCTCGGCGTGGACTGCCGCGGCGACTTTTATGGGCTTCTCTGTTCATAGTACCGTATACGGTACTATGGTTTACCCACACTAAGCGAGTAGGCCAAAATCCCCACTGGGCCGGGAGCAACCTTAAGCCGTTCAAACCGCAGGTGCCCCAGGGCCCACCCTTTTAAGCCTAGGGGTCCCCTAAGATCTCGAGAGATCAGCTCAACTCGACTCGCTCGGCTGAGCTCGACTCGCTCGGCTGAGCTCTCGGCAGTCATAACTCTCTCGGGCCTTTGTCTGACTCACTCGACTCCCCCCGCCCCGCCCCCCCCGTTGACTGTTCGTGCGCGCGAACGATCGCTGAATATCCTGCGCGACCGGAGAGAGAGCTGCTCTCTGTCTGCCCGCCGTCTCTCGTCCTATGCGTCAGTGAGACCCACAGAGCGAGCGGATGCCTTGCTCGGGCACGGCCCTTCCCCTCCATGATCACCACCTCGACACGCCGGTTTGCCAGTCGAGGCCGTACTCGAGGTAGCGCCGCACCTCGTTCTCGGTGAAGGGGAAGACCTTTCCCTCCTCCCACCCTAGCACGCGGTCACCCTTGAGCGGGCCTTGCTCCCAGCTGAACTGCAGCTCCACGGCTCCGCTCTGCGGGTGCATGCGCGACTGCGGGCGGGGCGGGAGGGGGGGGCGTGGGCGGGCAGAGGACAATGAGCGCGGGGCGAGTGCTGGACCCACCACCCCTACCCACATCAGCTACCAAAGGTTGCGTGTGTGCAGGTGTGGATCTCTCGGAAGTGTCCCAGGTGCGTGAAGACCTGCAGGACAGGGCGGAACAGCC